ACCAGTGTCTGAGCGAACAGAGGGGCCAGTGAGGAACACAGGAGTCACAAAAGCAATAAAGGAAGCTGTGGAAAGCCAGGGCTGGCATTCATTCATGTCCTGGATTTCTGGCTAGGTGAGGATGCCACCTGCCCCCATGTACTTCCTCCTCAGGGAGCCTCTGAACCGCATCCTAGCAACTGATGCTGGCATCACAGGTGGTGGTAGGCTTGCGGGGGCAGTGGGTGAGGCTGCGGGGGCGGAGATGAAGGACAGACGCCAAGTTCACTCAGGCAAAGAGGATCACCCAGGCCTCAGGGGATCCCAGGTCTTTTGTTCCCCACACCCTGGCCTGCCCTCTGTGGGCAGGGCAGGAACTGGCATTTCCCAGGGCCATGCCTGTGACCTCACCAGGTGGCTCCACCCCTCAGCATGTGGGCTAATTAGGCCTCAGCTGGATGGGTGTGTGGCCCTGCCTTCCCCAGATAGGCAGGTAACTGTCCAAGAGGAACTATTAAAGGTATGCTTGTTTTGCGAGTCACTCCGGGACTAAGGGCTGGGACTGGTCACCGGCTGTGAAGCCACATCACCAGCAGGGAAGTTGAGGAACAGGGATTGGGACATGAGGGGAATGCAGAGTCAGAGAAGGGCAGTGGCTGGGCTGGGCCCTTCCCTGCCAGCACAGTCAGAGACCAGGGAGTCACTCCTGTAGGTGGCTTCTGAGTCCCTAGTGGTCCAATATGCAGTCACACGCCAGACTGGGGTCCCTCATTCACTATAGTAAGGTGGGGAGGGAACAGCAGATCTTAGGACTGAATTACATAGAGACCGGCGTCCAAGGGGATGTATTGTGGTGCTGAGGATTGATAAAGAACTTCCTGCCTAAGAGTTCTACCCTTGAGCCACTACCCCTGCCCCTCACTGGGGGATTCTAGGCAGGGGCTCTACTGCTGTTTTACACTCCTGAACAAATGAATGACTTTTTGAGCCAGGACCCTGAGGACTAAAAGGACAGTACCCTTCACCCCAGGAACCAGGAGCTTAGGCAAAGTCACCCACTCTCAGACTATGGGGGTCCATTGCTTGCTGGTATTGGTTTCACATTTCAGGTCTCAGGCTTAAGCCAGTCTATCCCTGACTATCTTGATGTCTCATGATTACTGGTGAGTCAACACAGGTCAGAGGGTCCCTGTCATTGTCAGGAAATGTGCCTTTCCGTCTTGGTGTGGCTAAGCTCATGTTTGGAATTTCACAGTGCTGGGCATTGGCACACACCTTTAATCCCAGCACTCTGGAGGCAGAGGCAGGCGGATCTGAGTTTGAGGCCAGCCTGGTCTACAGAGTGAGTTCCAGGACAGCCAGGGCCATACAGAGAAACCCTGCCTCCAACCAAACCAAAGCGTTTACAGCAAGGTGGATGATGCCAGTCGGCGGGAGGACGAAGCCACTGTCCTGACAGGGCCTCCTGAGTGTCAGGTCCCATGGATGCACAGGCTGTGTGGGGTTCGGATGTCTCCTTTCCCATCCGCCAGGCTGCTTTTTCAGCAAGTGGAGGCTGGGAGAGATGTATCCCAGCATCAGCCAAGACCACCGTAGACTGGAGCTGGAGGACCAGGAGTGCTGCCAAGTGTTGTTTTCTGGGCAGGGCAGACCCTCACGTAGCCCAGTCTGACCTGTAGTGGAGGAGGACCTTAGACTCCTGATCCTCCTGGACTGCTCACCACAACCTGCCTGCTCTATCTTGAAACTCTTGTGTGTCTGCCAAACCCGATAGGGTGTCAGGATTCAGTCCCCACACGTCCCAGGGCTTTTGTGTGATCTTGTACAGGCCAAGGACCTGGCTGGCACCAGAAGAACTCTTACCTGTCCTGCTCCTGCAATGGGCTCAGTAGATGGGACCCTCTGACTGTCCTACGACCCGTGATGCTTGTAGCCCTTGGGGTTGCCTGCCAGCACACGCCTGAAGGTGTGTTGTCCGAGTCAGGTGGTGGATGGAGAGCCGCTGCTTCCAAGATTAGCTGCAAGGAGTCTAGCAAGGGACATTTCCTGTGTCAGGGAGTTGGGGTCACTAGGACTGGGTACAGCTTCAGAACAACCAGACCAAGGAGGTGGAGGCGCACACCTTTAATCCCAGCACTCGGGAGGCAGAGGCAGGTGGACCCTCTGAGTTTGAGGCCAGCCTGGTCTACAGAGCGAGTTCCGGGACAGCCAGGACTACACAGAGAAACCCTGTCTCATCACAAAACACAACCGTAACGAAGAGGGACAATTGGCTGTTTTCAGAGATTTACGTGGCCAGATGTTTCCTCTACCTCCAGCCTGCAATTCAGGCCCTGGAAACCAGCGAGCTCTACAGAGCGGGCCGTGGCAACAGTGACGAACCCCGAGTGGCTGTCGCTGCTGTTGCCACCGCTGCCTAACGTTTTCTCCCGAATATGGGGGCCCTGAGCACGAGAGACCTTTCCTGGCCTGTTGCTTGTCACTCCGACCCAGTTGTCACATGGCCAGCCCTATGGTTTTGTCCATATTCTTTGATTTTTGGTAAGAGCCAGGCTCTTGCTGTGTTTTCCAGTCTGGCATGGAGTTCCTGGGCTCCAGTGAGCCTCATGACTACAGGTGTGTACACACACACACACACACACACACACACACACGCACACACACGCGCTAAGGGTGGGACCAGGGCATGCTTGATAAGAACTGTACCACCAAGGCACCCTCCACCCAACTGCCCCTTTAAAGATTTTTCTTTTTTGTTGTTTTGTTTTTCGAGACAGGGTTTCTCTGTGTATCCCTGGCTGTCCTGGATCTCACTCTGTAGACCAGGCTGGCCTTGAACTCACAGAGATCCACCTGCCTCTGCCTCCTGAGTGCTGGTGTTAAAGTTGTGCATCACCCCCGTCTGGCTTTAAACTATTTTCTTTATAAAGATTTATTTATTAGGTATGCAATGTTCTGCCTGCAGCCAGCAGGGGGCACCAGATCTCAGTATGGATGGTTGTGAGCCACCGCGGGGTTGCAGGGACTGAACTCAGGTGCTCTTAACCCCTGAGTAATCTCTCCAGCCCGAATGGCCCCTTTATAAGTACCCTTTCATGCTGGTTTGGTGCCCATCCTAAGGGACTCGTTTTCCCAGGATCGACCAACTTCTCACACCATGTTAAGAGCTGGGGACAAGTGGGGACAGAGGCAAGACCAGGGGACCCACACAGGCGCACAGAGGGCACATCTATTGGGCCAGCGCTGCTGAGACCCAATTCAGTGACCACAGCGCCCCCAGGTGGTTGCGGACTATACCGTCAGGACCCCACCAGAACTCAGGACAGCCCAGCCCCTCCCCAGCCCAGCCCACAAGGGGGCTGGTAGCAGGGTGGCTGCACTGGCATCTCCCAGTACTTAAGGGGCCCCACACACCCCTCAAACAAGTGTGTGGTGTGTCCTGAGGAGCGGTGAGGTCTGTAGCAGGTGACGGAAGCACAATCCTCCAGCGTGCCAAGGAAGGCTTCTGGGCCGGGGAGACAGCTCCATGTTCAAAAAAAAAAAAAAAAAAGCTTGCTGTACAAGACTGAAGACCTGAGTTCAAATCCCAGCACCGATGTGAAAGCCAGACAGTGCATCCTGGCCGCCCGTGATTGCAGTGTTCCTGTGAGGAGTCGGGAGAATCTCTCCAGTTCAGTCCAGCTAGCCTGATGTAAGAGGGCCTCGCTCAAACGAGGAGTGACAGAAAAATACCCAGGTTTCCCCTCTCATCTGCATGAGTGTGCCATGGCAGGCACGCACCACCTCCGCACACTAATCTGTACACACACATCCTTGTGCTTAAAAGTAATTTTGAACAGTTTCTGACAGATACAATGGTGGGGTGCAGAGGGCTCTCACGTTTTTTGGTTGGTTGGTTTTTTTTTTTCCAGTTTCTCTGTGTAACAGCCCTGGCTGTCCTGAAGTCTATAGAGCAGGCTGACCTTGAACTCACAGCCTGTATCCACAGACAGGCAGCAGGCCATTTCCTACAGATGGCTCTCCTCAGTTTTCATTCCCTGTGGTGCCTGAGATTGAACCTTTCTGATGGGTTCTAGGCTAGGCTCACCACTATCCAAGTCTTCACTTTCAGTCTGAGTTACCCAGGGTGGCCCGGAACTTGTGATCATCCCATCTCAGACTCCGTGGTAGCGGGGATGACACGCCTGTGTCAGACCCGCTCCTTCTCTGGTGTTCTGCAGGGGAACCCTCTGCTGAAGATGGTCCACAAGTCAGGCACATGCTAGTGACACAATGGCTCACAGGCCCTCCCGCAACAGACGGGGCCAACAACAGACAGGCTGGCCCTGCTACCCTCACCGCGGGAGGGAACACCTTCACCTGGCACCCTGGGCACCTCCAGCATGGCTGCAAGTGGCCGAGCGCGCCCTTAGTGTGCAGATCCAGGTGTGGACGGGTAAGAGGGTGTAGGACGTGGGGAGGTCTGTCCAGCCTCCTGGGTTTCCTTGGGGGACCACTGCACCAAGCCAGCAGAGGCTCCAAAACCCCTCGCCCTCTCCCCTGCCCCTTGGACACCTGGGCCCAGCACGAAGCAGAAGCACATGGTGAACCCAGCTCCTGTTTATTAGAAAAGGTGTGACAGCTGCACCAACAGGGGTGGTCCAGCCCCAGCCCACCCTCACCACACCCACCCACCCACCACCCACCGCCCACTACTGTAGTGCCTGCCAGGGCGCAGCCTCAGTGGCCCGGGCAGCAGGGTCCAGAACCCCACTGCGGCGTGCCCAGCTCCCTGATAGATTTTATTGCACTTAAAGAAAGCTCTCTTCCTCTCTGCTGGCCCCACCCCACAGGGGCTGGCAAACTCTACCACCACGCTCAGCAGCCAGGTCCTGAATGGGGCCAGGGGGCCATCGTGATCTGTCCTGCCTCCTACCCCTCCCCAGAACCAGAGCAGCCGCGTGGCCAGAGACCCTGGAGAGCTTCTCCCGTCCCCTTCCTCCTGTCCACCCCAGCCCCAACCTGGAGAGCGAGAGGGGCAGACACATAAATACGTGCTTTGCTTTCAAGTCTGGGAAGCCTCTCCCAGCCCTGCGCCCCTTGTGGCTGTAGTGTTCCTGCAGCGAGGCCTGGGGTACCCCGCCTGGCTTCCTGGGGGACTAGGCGGGGAGTCGGCAGATCCTTGGGATGGCTTCAGCTCATCACAGAGCAGCCGGAACTAAAGAACTGGGGAGCAGAGGTGGGGATGGTCAGCGCGCATGCGTGTGGTAGAGGGGCGCAGTTCCCACTCGGGCACCAACTTACAGTGTCACAGTGTGTCCCGCGGGGCCTCCTGGCTGGCCTCTAGGAGCAGTTCCTCCAGCTTGCGGGCGCCCTGGGGGCGGTGCAGCGCTGCAGGTGGTAGGCGCAGCCCCCTCAGAGGCAGGTGGGGCACGGCCTCGCCCCTCCAGCCCACACGGCCCCCCCGCCCAGGGAGGGCCCCGGGGCCCAGAGTAGGACTCAACGATCCGATCCGGTCCTTTCTCCTATCCCTTTCGGGCCCACCCACAGGCCTATCCCCTGCCTCTCCTTACCGTGCTCCCGGCTGCAGCTGCCCCCCTTAGCCTCCAGCCCTGGGGGTGGCTCTGGGGGCAGTGCGAGGGCAAACTCAGGCTTCAGGCCGTTGGGCAGAGGCTGCCCTGCCTGAGATGGCTCCGGCTGGAGCTGAGCCTCGGATGACTCTGGGTCCCGGATGTCCATGGTCTGAGATGGTGGAGAGGCAGGTGGGGAGGGAGGAGAGGGTGGAGGGGAGGAGACGAAGGTCGGGGGGACAGGGGGCTCTGGCCTCTCGGGTGGACTCTCCACCCGGGTCACCACAAACACCTTGTGGCCTCGGCCCGGGCTGGAGACAGAAATGCGCTGCTCAGTGGGGGAGGCGGGGCTGCCTGGGGGGCTCCGGTCCCCGGGGCCGAGGGAGTCCGTGGAGGGCATGAGGGCAGGGCAGGGGGCTGAGGGACTCTGCTCAGCGCCGCCCTCATCCCTCTGCTGGTCCTCCTGCTTCTCCTCTTCCTCCTCCTGCTCCTCCCGGTCCGAGTCCGAGTCCGAGTCCGGGCCAGGGGCCCCATTGTGTGCCCCCTCGGCTGGCAGGTCCCCAGGCTCTCCCAGGGGCTGGGGCGCGGTGACGGTGATCTCGGGCATGGAGACCGACAGCTGCGGCTTCTCCTCCCGCTCTCGCACCAGCACGAAGTTGCGCTTGCAGCCGTTCTGGATCTCGGCCAGTAGTGCCTTCTGCGTCTCAATGAAGGTCTTCACCTGTGGGACCCGGCCTGCTAGGGCTCTGTGTGGCCTCTGCCCCACCCTGCCCCACGCACCCTCCTGCCCGCCTGCCCGCCCGCCCGCGGCAGCGCTGGTACAGACGCACGCGCCCTCACCGCCTCCTTCTTGGGCTCTCGGTCCAGGTCCAGGCGAAGCAGGGAGTGGTTCACCTTGAGGGCCAAGGACAGCGCCATGAGCCCGCCCGTCTTGATCTCGTTCTCCCGGAGGTCCAGTCTCAGGAGGCGGGGGCTCTCGGCGATGAACTCTGCCACGGCCACCGCGCCTGGGAGGGGGACCGCAGGGGCTGGCCACGGGCCCCATGCCTGGCCGCTGGCCGGCCGCCCTGCCGAGCCCCGCTGGCCCATGCGCGCCTGGCCCGAATCCTACCCTCGCATGTGAGCTTGGTTGAGGCCAGGCCGAGGCGCAGCACACTCCGGTTGCTGATGAGTCCATTCTTGAGGTTGCGCACACCCTCGTTCCCAATGGGGTTGTGGCCCAGGTTCAAGGTCTCCAGACTCTGTGTGTGCGGCTGGAAGGGACAGGAAGGTGAGGAGGGGAAACCATGGTGGAGGAAAGGCCAGCAAGGTGCCAGGAAAGGAGGCAGAAAGAGGAGCCGAGGCACGTGTGCTCTGTCTCCCAGCACAATCTACCGCAGGCAGGCCTGTGAAACGCAAGTCCTTCCCACGCTGGCTCTCCCCTCGCCCACACTGCCCACACTGCCCACTCCCGCAGAGTCCACGTGGCCCCCATATCCACCGCCTCCCGGCCCTCACCCTGCCTGTCTCTGAATGGCTTAAGGACCCCTCTTGTGGGAGGGGACCTGGGCACTGAGCACAAAAGAACCCCCTTTCCCTGGGAGTGTTCCTACCTGCTCCAATTACTTTATATATTATGTGATAACAAAAAAGACTAAAAACTTACTGGCTGCTTCCAGAAACATTAACTTTTTAGGCCAACATGCTCAGTGTGTGCAAAGCACTGTCCTATGTAGTCTGTACAAAAAGACAATTAAAGAAACAGGGCCCAGGCCCGCAGTGGTGCATCTCTGAGTTCTAGGCCAGCCTGCTGCTCTACAAAGCAAGTCCAGGACAGTCAGAGCAGCACAGAGATACCCAGTCTTCAAAGAAAGAAAGAAGAGAGAAAAAAATGAAAGAAAGAAAAAAAAAGAAATGAAGGAAGGAAGAAAGATAATGGAAGAAACAGGGCCAGGGCTAGCTGGATGGCTCGAGGATCCGAGTTCTATACCTGTGATATTTATACATGGTAGAAGGAGAAAATGGACTCCTGCAAGCTGTCCTCTGACCTCAACATTCGAGCACCTGCATGTGTGTTCGCGCACACACATGCACGTGTACACACATGTGTGCGCGCACACACAAAGACGTAAATGTAATAAAACATTTAAAAATTAAATATGTTGGCGCCAGGCTGGAGGTGCTGACGAACCAGGCCCTGAACTCACCAGCGCCATGCCCAAGAAGGCCATGCCTGTGTGTGTGAGCTGGTTGTTCCACAGCACCAGGGTCACCAGACCCTTCTTCTGCTCCTTGAGCCCCTCGCAGATGTAGGCCAGACCTAGGGAAGGCGGGTGATCAGTGCCTCTTCCATCCCAGAGGCTCTGGCCTGGCTTCTGAGACTCTCCTGCATGGGAGCCCTATCAGGGCTGGAACTGTCTTCCCTGCCAGCTGTGAATAGGCCACACTGTGTCCAGGACCCCCACCCCCAGCACAGGGCTGAGCACAGTGAGCGCTGGGTGACAGCGAGGACAGAGCACACAGGCGCACCTGAGTCTAGCACATGGTTGTTTCTCAGGTCCAGGATTTGCAGGGAGCAATTGAACTTGAGCAAGTTGCCCAGCTGGGCTGAGTCCTGCAGGCCATTGAGCTTGTTGTCTGCTAAGTACAGCTCCCGTAGGTTCATGTTCATCTTCAGAGCTGTGGCTGGAGAGCGAGTGGGTGGGGGTGACTGCCGGCCCTCGTCCTGGGTCACCTGTCCAGCAGCAGGCCTTACGGACACAGACTTACCCAGCAGCATGAGGGGCCTCCCAGACAGGCTGGCATTCTCCAGATGCAGCACTGCCAGGCTGCTGCGGATGCGTAGAGCGCGGGCCACAAAGGGCGCAGAATGGTCCAGCAGGGGTGTGTTGCGGGCATCTAGGTATTGTAGGCAACTTGTCTGGTGGGGACAGGTCAGGGGATGGGTCATTTTGCAGTCACAGCTAGCACCTGGGTTTTACACAGGAGGCCTGTGTCTGAGTCCCCTGAGTGCTGTTATGGGAGCCCCCCTCTTCCCAGAGTCCCATCTCCTTCCTGCGCCAGTCTTTGCAAGGGCGAGTAAAGCAGGGCTGGCGGCACTGCCACGTTCTAAGGACCAGGCTAGGGAGGGGAGGAGGGGTGCATGACCGTGTGGGAGGGCAGGGGGGACAGGCGGGCACTGAGCAGGTACCCACCTTGCGCATCATGTGGGCAGCAGCCTGCCAGCCCCGGGTGCCAATGTGCTTGTTGAAGGAGATGTTGAGGTGGGTGGCTGACTCGTAGTACTCAATCATGTCAAAGAGGGCGGACGCACCCTGGGGACAGGCACAGGTGGGCTTGGCCTCAGGTCAGAGGGAAACATGGGCTGTGCCACGGGCTTGCTGGGCAGGCAAGAGCCTCAGAATGTCAGGTATGCCCTGGACGACCCGGGAGGGCGGGGCCCCAAACCCTCGGAGGCTGCAGCCTCCCCCAGGTGCCTACCTCTCGGCCCTGCACTGTGACAGCCAAGAAAGCTCCCGGTGGCCACACTTGCCCCTCACCCGGCTCCCAGGCCTTGTCTTCAGGCCTTAGGCCCACCCTGGTCACATCAGGTACCCCCTTCTGGTGTTCACGAGGCCCTGCCCTTGCCTTCTCCGTCCCCAAGCCTCACGAGGGCCTAGGAGCCTGGGGGCAGCAGGGCTCTTACGTCTTCATCCAAGTTGGTCTGTTCCAGGTCCACAACCTTGAACTGCAGCCTCTTAAAGACCTCCTCCAGAGCCTCACAGGCCTTGTAGTCAAGCTTCTCCCCTGGGAAGGAAGGGGTGGGCACCTTTATGTGGAGAGGCCACACCACCACCAGCCCATCTCCTGCGGAAGCCACCAAACCCCGGACAGCCTGCTAACCCTGGGGACACACCTTTCAGGTCCAGGCAGTTGATGCGTTGCTCAAGGTCCGTGAACTCCTAAGAAAGCAGGATAGGGCTGGTCAAAGCAGGTAAGACACCCCAGCAACTGGAGGGCCCGCCAGTGGGGCCATCAAGGCTCAGCGGGCTCTGCCGAGCCCTCCAGTGAGGCGGCATCTGGAATGGGGCTGGCTCTGAGCACCCAGGGCATGAGATGACTCTGCCCTGCCCAGGGAGTCACAGCCACATCACCCACCTGGTACAGTCAGGTGAGGGCACCCAGCATCTCTGGAGAGATATCCAGAGTCAAAGGTGGCACTCAGCAAAAGACATAAAGGCACTAGATCAGGCGTTCCCTCAGCTCCTTCCTGTGGGGCCCGCCTAACCTACACACACGCCAGACAGGCTAAGGCTGGCTTCACAGCACACTTCACTGATAAAATGCTAAGGTCTAGTCAGCCTCAGACGCCACACTGAGTGGCTTTCCCTGGAAGGCGAGGCCCTGCTCTGCTAACCCTGCAGCGTAGACACAGGCCTGCAACACTAGAACAAAGACCCAGACACCCCTTGCAAGGAAGGGCTCTGTGGAGGGGGGTGGGCTATGGGTGGGCAGGGTCTGTCCACACTCACACTAACTCAGACAGTGCTTGGTGCCGGCCCTTCTGAGCTAGAAACTCCTACAAGCTCTCCAACAGACCGAGGTAGGGCCTTCTGGGATATGGGGGAAAAGGAAAGAGATGACGACGACGAGTCTTCTGTTTTCCATATCTATATTTAGACTCTTTTTCCGTGTGTGTGTGTGTGTGTGTGTGTGTGTGTGTGTGTGTGTGTATGCTCACATCATTGTGCACTGATGTGGAATAACCCTTTTGTATACTGTGTTGCTTTCTTTGTTAATAAAAAGCGATTGGCTGGTAGCCAGGCAGGTATTATCGGCAAAACAGCCAGACTTGGGAAGAACAGCGAAGTCAGACGAGACACCAGCCAGCCACCACGGAAGCAGGGCCAGGTGGTAAATGAGGTAACCAGCTACAGGCCTCATGGCAAAGCATAGATAAGAGATAAGCGTTCATTTAGTCAGGCCTTGGTGGCACACGCCTTTAGTCCCATCACTGAGAAGGCAGATCTCTGTGAGTTCGAGGCCAGCCTGGTCTACAGAGCCAGTTGCAGGGCAGCCTCCAAAGCTACACAGAGAAACCCTGTCTCAAAAAACTCAAGAAAAAAAAAAAGACAGAGAGAGAGATGGGTTAATTAAAGTGTAAGAGTCAGGTAGTAACATGCCTGAGCTATTGGCCCATTGGCCCAGCATTTCTAATTTACATTAAGTCTGAGAGTCAGTTATTGCCGGGACAGGGAAACCCCACCCACGGTGCAATCAGTTCTCTACTTCTACCGTGTGGGGACTAGCACACCCAGGTTGTCAGGCTTGCCAGCAAGCACCATTGCCACTGAGCCAGCTTGTTTTTGATTTTGGGGACGAACAGGGTTTCATATAGCCCAGGCTAGCCTCAAACTCATTATGTAGCTGAGGATGTCCTTGAGCTCTGTCCTCCTGCCTCTACCCTCTAAGTGCTGGGACGACAGCCAGCGCTGGTTTCTGTTAACTTCCCAAACAGCAGAGAGCATACACCACGGTTCAGGTCCAGACTTTTGAGTCAGCCTGAGTACGAGCCCAGGCTGACGCTTGCCTTAGAAGTCACAGATAAGAATGAATTTCAGCGTTCAGACTTGAAGGGACTGACAAGATGACTTGTCTGAGGACAGACTTCTCTGGGGCTGACAGGTTAAGAAGTAGCTATCACTTTATGTGATTCTGGATTGTTGCTAACTTCACAGCTGAACTAAGGATTTCTGCAGCTGTCCTTACACAGGCCCTGGCTCGGGGGCAAGCTGGCTGGGCAGGCCCCAGGGCTGTGCGGCCCCCCCCCAGGCACTCACACACGCACGCACGCAGAGGCACCGGCAGAACACTTAGTGAGTGTCCCCATCCCCTCATACCTGCAGCTGCCTGAGGAGCTTGGGGATCTGTCTGCAGTTCAGCTTCTGGCAGGCCTGCCTGTAGGCACTGATCACTTCATCCACGGTCACGTTTTGGGCTGCGGGCAAAGGAGCAGGCTCAGACTCCACAGCCCTTGTTTGCTGCCTTGCAGGGCCCTCCCTTCCTCTGGCCCAACAGCAGCGTGACAGAGCAGGGGTCATCGGCATCGCGCACACAGCTAGCATGGCCCTCTACGAAGTGCTGGGCTCTGGGGCAGCCACAGAGACATCCCCAGCCCGTTTACACGTTCCCTCCCTACCACATGGGGAGCACTAGCTGGGCAGGCCATCTCCACGTCCCCAGCAAAGCCAGCACGCACCAGGCTTAGGGCAGGCATTTGGCTCTGCGGGTGCTCGAGTTTCATTTTTGTGACAAACACCCTGACAAAAAGCACCCCGGGAGGACGGGTCATGAAGGAGCTCTAGACAACCGCTCACCCCACACCTGCTGAGGGGCTGAGGTGAATGAACCTATGCTGGCAGCCCATGAAGCCATGTCCACACAGTGACAATCAAGAAAGCCTCCAGATGTGCCCACAGCTCCAGCTGGTGTAGGCCATCCCTCGTTAAAACACTTCCTCAAACCACCCCTCCCACACGGGGATGGCTTGACATCCAGCCCAACAACCTGAGTTGGATCCCTGAACCCACGTGGTGGAAGGAGAGGACCAACACTCCCAACTTGTCTCCAACTTCACAAGTGTGCCTGGTGCAAGTGACACCCACCACCACAACATAAACAACATAAATAAACAATGCAGTCTTTTTATTAAAAAAGGCAGGTGGTGGCGCTCGCCTTTAATCCCTGTCCCACCCCCTGTGTGTGTGTGTTTTGTTTTGAGACAAGGTTTCTCTGTATAGTCCTGACTGTCTGGACAGCAGGCTGACCTCAAACTCAGAGATCCATCTGCCTTTGCCTTCCGAGTGCTGGGAATAAAAGCGTGTGCCACCATGCCTGGCTAAGACATGTCGTTATCTGTGAGAGGTCTCATTAGGACCCCTGTCTGCTTTGAAATGGCTGACCGCCCTGCCTCGGCCTCTTGAATGCTGGGTTACATGTATGTGCCACTGCGCTCTGCTTATTTTGATGGAAGAATGAAGGCTCACTTCAACTCCAAGAGACAAAGCTCAAAGAGATCAGGAACTTTCCCCTAGGGCACACAGCTGGTATAAGGTACAGCCAGGATTTGAACTCTCCCAACTCTCCAATTCTTCCCTCCTGAAACACAGCTCATGGCTAACCATGCCCTTCAGTCTTATACCTTTCTGTCTGCTCAGATCTGCTTCTTCTGAACTTTTAAGAAAAATACATTTAAGCCAGGCATTGCAGTTACTAAGGAGGCAGAGGCAGAAGGATCCAAAGTGCAAAGGCCAGCTTGAGCAACTTAGTGAAACCCTCATGAAATTACAAATAAATAAATAAATAATAAATAAATAAATAAATAAATGGGGGGGGGGCTGGAGGGATAGATAGCTGTTCTACCAGAGGTCCTGGGTCCAATTCCTAGCAACCACATGGTGGCTCACAACCACCTGTAATGAGATCTGGTGCCCTCTTCTGGCCTGTAAGCAGAACATTATATGCATAATAAATCTTTAAAAATTATGAATGAATAAACAATAGTTTGATGGCAGAGCACCAGCCTAGAGTCCCCCAGTGGAGTGTTGGGGATGTGGTCAGCGATGGAAAGATTACAGAAAGTCCTAGTTTACATCTCCAGTACCCCATGAGCCCCACAAGATAATGAAGTGACAAATGTCCTCATATGACATACATATTGAAGATTCCGGGTGCTCACAACCACTTTGAAAACGGCATCAATTACAGACACTTGCACGGGGCTATTCAAGTGACCACAAATAGAAGGGGACAATTTTAAAAGGTGGTCAGCTGTATCCAGTTGGCCTTTTTTTATAAGTCTGTTTAATATTTTACCTCTAAAGGTCACTCTGAAGAGTCCCAGGGTTTACCAGAGGGCGCCAGTGAGACTCCAAACAGACATGTGGTTCAATAAAGGCCACAGGTCCAGGCCAGTGGCATCAGCTGGGCTAATATGGGCTGCTCTGTCATCGCTGGCAGTTCCCAGCCCTGCAGTCAACAGGAAGACTGACAGCACAGGCTGTTATGGGGCCACACGCACAGAATCTTAGGTGCACAGGCTGGGGCAGGAGGGGCTGTTATGGGACACACGCACAGAATCTTAGGTGCACAGGCTGGGGCAGGAGGGGCTGTTATGGGGCACACGCACAGAATCTTAGGTGCACAGGCTGGGGCAGGAGGGGCTGTTATGGGGACACACGCACAGAATCTTAGGTGCACAGGCTGGGGCAGGAGGGGCTGTTATGGGGCACACGCACAGAATCTTAGGTGCACAGGCTGGGGCAGGAGGGGCTGTTATGGGGACACACGCACAGAATCTTAGGTGCACAGGCTGGGGCAGGAGGGGCTGTTATGGGGCACACGCACAGAATCTTAGGTGCACAGGCTGGGGCAGGAGGGGCTGTTATGGGGCACACGCACAGAATCTTAGGTGCACAGGCTGGGGCAGGAGGGGCTGTTATGGGACACACGCACAGAATCTTAGGTGCACAGGCTGGGGCAGGAGGGGCTGTTATGGGGACACACGCACAGAATCTTAGGTGCACAGGCTGGGGCAGGAGGGGTCAAGGACAACCTGGGCAGTGCAGTGAGACTGACTCAAAATAAAACTTCAGAGGAGGCTGGGGTACAGCTCCTAGTGCCGTAACAGTGACACTAATACCGGGCTGGAGACACGGCTCAGAGGCTAAGAGCACTGGCTGCTCTTCCAGAGGACCTGAGTTCAATTCCTAGGACCCACGTGCTGGCCCACAACTGTCTGTAACTCCGGTCCCAAGGGAGCTGATGCTCTCTTCTGGTCTCTGTGAGCATCAGGCATGCCTGTGGTATACAGACATACATGTCTGAATAAAAATGACAACTGCAAGAAGGAAAAAAGAAAATGACAACTGCATTTTATCGATTTCCCACTTTTTAAAAATTTATATCTATTTGCATTGATATTTGGCCTGCATGCATGTCTGTGTGAGGGTGTCAGATCTTGGAGTTACAGACGGTTGTGAGCTGCCATGTGGGTGCTGGGAATTGAACCGGGGATCTCTGGAAGAGCAGCCAGTGCTCTTAACTGATGAGCCACCTCTCCAGCCCCCATTTCCCACCTTCTAAGTAGTGACAGATACAGTAAAGAAGAGCAGGGACTCAAAGCTGGCCCTGTGACACCTGTGCTGTGGCACCTGTGCTGTGACACCTGTGCTGTGACACCTGTGCTGTGACACCTGTGCTGTGACACCTGTGCTGTGGCACCTGTGCTGTGGCACCTGTGCTGTGGCACCTGTGCTGTGGCACCTGTGCTGTGACACCTGTGCTGTGGCACCTGTGCTGTGACACCTGTGCTGTGACACCTGTGCTGTGGCACCTGTGCTGTGGCACCTGTGCTGTGGCACCTGTGCTGTGGCACCTGTGCTGTGACACCTGTGCTGTGACACCTGTGCTGTGGCGGCCCTGGCCTACCACAGCTGGCTCCACTGTACCGGGAGTCATCAGTGTGAGCGACAGAACATCAGCAGTGCAGACAAAGGAGAAACTGAGCAGCTCGGGAGCCAGCAGTTCTCTTTGTGAAGCAGGATTGGAGAGACAGACGGTTCAGGGTTGAGAACACTTGCTTTTCTTGCAGAGGACCCGGGTTCCGTTCCCAGCATCCACCCAGGCAACCCAAACCATTTACAACTTCAACATCCCGCTCTGGCCTCCAAGGGCACAAATACAGTACACATATATACGCACCCAGGCACATACTCATACAGGGTTTCTCTGTGTAGCCCCGGCTGTCCCGGAACGCTATAGACCAGGCTGGCTTTGAACTCACAGAGATCTGCCTGCCTCTGCCTCCCTAGTGCTGGGATTAAAGGTGTGTGCATCACCTGGCTAAATAAATAAATCTTAGCAGAGAAAAAGACGCAGGTCAATACAGTGCTTGCTATGTTGAGGGAGGCCCGGGAGGCCCAGTGCAGCAGGCTGTGGAACGGTCGTGGAGCCCAGCTCAGGTTCAACCTCCGTACCAAGGGATGGACAGCTGTCCAGTGAAATGGTTGTCAGAGAGGAAAAAGTCTCTCTCTCTCCGTGTGTGTGTGTGTGTGTGTGTGTGTGTTCCAAAGAAGGCTGTGCTGGAGTGGGCACACCCAGGTGACAAATTAGACTAAAAGCCACATTCTGATCCTTGCTCTCACAAGACTGGACAAATGACCCTGCGATCTCTCTGAAGAGCCACCAGTCTCAGGGACAAGTGACATGAGGAAACCAGAGAACCAGCTGACTCTGTCAGCAGGGACACAGCTGGGGAGGAGTCAGTAGCAGTGGCTTATTTTTGGTCTTCAGAATTCTCTCACTTACGTTTTTTTCCTTATGACAGGGACACCTTAGAAAGTCCAGGCTGGCCTTGAACCCATGACCTTTGTGCCCTGGCCTCACTAGCACTGGGACTCCATGCATGGCTAAGGAGTTTGTACAGGCAACTTCATTTGGCCAGGTCTGGGACTGATCCCAGAGACAGGCCCACTTCCGTGTCCATCTTATACAGGGAAGCCCGCCAGGGGGCAGGGTATCTGCCTAGTCCCAGAGCCAGAGGAGGCAGGCCTCTGAAACAGGAGCCAGCCCCGGCTTTTCACCGCCTCAGCAATGGAGGTGGGGGTGTGGGGGGGTACGGGCTCGTCATTCAAGGAAGAGCCACCGGGGACAGATCTGAGTTCCATAAGAGAAGACTGCAGCATGGCTGGCTGGCAAGGCCTCAGCCCTTGGGCCCCTCTCCCCAGGGACAGGGAGAAATGTGATGCCGAGCGAGCGAGCGAGCGAGCGTCAGGTGACCCTGCCAGGAGGCCTGAGCTCACATGTGCACACATGTGCTAGGGTGTGGATGGAATGCAGGCATGAGGCGGCAGTATGCTAAGCCACCCCCAGCTTCTGGGAGCTGGTAGGAAATGGGTGGCCCGTGGGGGTCCCCGCCAGAGACCACTGCACCCTGGC